GTTTCTGCCATTTAAGCCACCAGTCTGCGGTCCTGTATAATGGCAGCCCTGGGGACCCAATACAGTATCTCCTGTGCTTTAGGTTGTGTGACCCAGGGGGTCCCAGTGCTTCAGGGCGGGGAGTGCAGGCCCACGTCTTCACAGAGCACACACTTGGGCCCCCCACTCTACCTTGCTGTTCCCTTGCCCCCTTCAGAACTGACCCTTCCATTGTCCCAGCCCACAGCCGCTGCCCACAGCTGACCACTGTGTCCTTGCTGTTTGTCCTGGTAACTTCTGTGTCTTAATCAGCACCTTGACCTTTTGCCCAAACTAATGGTCGGTTACAAATGCCATGGTCGTGTGGGAGAGCTCTTATTTTTGCAGATGGTTTATGGCGCCCTAAATCCCCCACCAAACCCCAAAGGCCAGTTGTTGGCAGGCTGAATGTAGCCGCCTTACCGGTTATGCTGAAACACAGTTTGCAGGTCAAAGTACAGCGGGCAGTTTCCCAAGGCCACGTCCTGCCCCCTCTGCCGCGGCCCGCTTACCAACAGATTCCGTTGAAGCTGGGAAGCAGAGCAATTGAAATAGTGGCCTGCCCCTGGGAGAAATAAGAACTACAGCTGTAATAAAACTTCTTCCGGTTTATTTTTTTTTAATCCCAATGATCTCGCCACTATTTTCTACTTCCTGCACCCCCAGGATGCCCTGACTTTCCCAGAGGACTGAATTGTAAGTCCGGGGGCCTGGGTTTGAATCAAGGCTGTGCAGTTAAGTCACTGGGTGATACTGGGCAAAGGAAGCTCTCTGAACCACAGTGAGTTATTTGCAAAATGTGAATGATAACAATGCCTACCTCCCAGGGGTGGGGTTGCTTAAGGATTATAAGAAATAACTTTGATAAGAAATATATATATACAAAAATTTTTTAAAAGTCTAAATTTGGTCCTCTCAAAAAAAATAAAAAAGAAATAATATAATATATAAAGCACCTGGCCCATAGGAAACATGCAATGTTAATTTTCACCCCTTTCTACCGAGGCTGGATGGAATCACACCCTAATTTATTTCTTTATACCCTTTCCAGAAAGATCCCAGAGGAAAATTAAGAACTCCATTAATTAATTATAATATCCCTATTTATTGTTTATTTTGTGGTGGGGATGTTAGATACAGTGTATCACCAGTTCCAAGCCAGACTTGTGCTCAGATGCAGGGGGAGGGATGGTTATAAAGGGGGTGTGGTGGTATCTAGGATCATCTCAAAATCTGGAAGAGGGTGCTACTGGAGTTTAGTGGGAGAGAGAAAGTACTTGAAACACCAGATGTGTCACAGGCAATGAGGAGTGGTCCATCATGTAGGATGGACCAGCAGCACCCTCATGGAGAGATACTCACTTCACATCACTTAGTTCAATCCTTCTGGGACCCTTAAGATATTGGTAATATTATTCCTGCTGCACCTATGGGGAAACTGAGACAAACACCTGCAAAGTGGCAGGAGCATGATTCAGATTCCAGACCAGGGCTCTGAAGCATCACTCTTCATATAACAGGGTTTCTAGTAAATTTGCTGCAGTAACGTTGTCATTTTGATTTGGATTGGATTGTTCTGTTTTGTTCTCTAACTGCCAAGAATATTGAGAGTTCCTTTCTCAAAAATTTTCTCAAATCATCCATAAAAGATAATTTAAAACCCAGAAGTTCTTACTTTAAGACTTAGAAGCAGTGTATCATCGCATGTTTCTTTTAAGGGACTCAGTTCTCTTATTTATTCTGCCAAAGCGAGAGAGAGAGGGAGAGAGAGAGAGAGAGAGGAGAGAGAGAGAGAGAGGAGGGAGAGAGAGAGGAGGAGAGAGAGAGAGGAGGAGAGAGAGAGGAGAGAGAGAGAGAGAGAGAGAGAGAGAGAGAGAGAGAGAGAGAGAGAGAGACCGAGAGACGACGACGACGACGACGACGACGCGACGACGACGTACCGTACGTACCGTACCGGTT